TCTCTTTCTCTTTTACGTGGCAGACTTTTCACGTGCACGCTTCGTCTCTTTAACAACGTCTTTCTTCCCTTTTTTCTCTCACTGTCGCAACTTTCAACTCGTACTCATCATCTCAACTTCTTCTTCTTCTTCTTCTTCTTCTTCTTCTTCTTCTGATACGACTTTCGTCCCTTCGTATTTCTCTCTCTCTCTCTCTCTCTCTCTCTCTTTTTCTGTACATTTTTCACTCTGAGACTTTTTATTGTTGCCCTTCTCCCTTTTTTTCTATGTTTTTCATACTTAACTTTGTCATTAGTTATCAAGATACGTTATTGTTTGCTAATGATTTTATGTAGAACTTAAGAAAAGAATCAATTTCGGTAATGCATGCTTTTATTCAGTCAATAAATAACTCAGCTTTTGTTTTTTTCAATATTTTAGACGATAGTTCGAACAATTGTTAGATAAAAGAAAATGTAAATAATTAACCCTTAACGTTGCGAATTTTGATTTGAAATACTACAATGATGTGTAGAATGCATAAGAGTATTAAAATAATTGTTAATTATTCGAAAGAAATGTGTATTGTTGTTTAAAAGCACCAAGTATATGATCGAAGTACCGTCCTCTTCGAAATACACCTTCAGACTGACGGATTCTCCTCTATCAAAATTCTTATATTAAATATTGTTTATATGAATTTCCGAACACTACGCATGTGTATAACGGGTATACTATTTGTAACAAATAGAAATTCAGATAAAAACGTTCTAATTGTAGTATTTTTTGTATTCTAATGTAATTTTCTTATCACACCTGTGCAGTGATGACTTCGACGGTTAAATTATGCTATAATATAAGAAAATTTTATTACAATATTAAAGTAAATGTTAATTAATAAATACCAATGTCTAAAGTTATCTAAAAGCTCGAATTATATGATCGAAGTACCGTCCTCTTCGAAATTCACCTTCAGACTGACGGGTTGTCCTCTATCAAAACTCTTATATTAAATATTGTTTATATGACTTTTTGGACACTGCGCAGGTATGCTACGGTAATAATATTCCTAATTAATAGAATTTAAGATTATAACGTTCATATTTTAGTATTTTTTGTATTCTAATGTAATTTTCTTATCACACCTGTNTTCTCCTCTATCAAAATTCTTATATTAAATATTGTTTATATGACATTTCGGACACTACGCATGTGTATAACGGGTATACTATTTGTAACAAATAGAAATTAAGATAAAAACATTTTAATTTATTATTTTGTTGTATTCTAATGTAATTTTCTTATTACACCTGCGCAGTGATGACTTCGAGGGTTAAATTATGCTATAATATAAGAAAATTTTATTACAATATTAAAGTAAATGTTAATTAATAAATACCAGTTTCTAAAGTTATCTAAAAGCTCGAATTATATGATCGGAGTACCGTCCTCTTCGAAATTCACCTTCAGACTGACGGATTCTTCTCTATCAAAATTCTTATATTAAATATTGTTTATATGACTTTTTGGACACTACGCATGTGTATAAAGGGTATACTATTTGTAACAAATAGAAATTAAGATAAATCGTTCTAATTTTAGTATTTTTGCATTATAATGTAATTTTTTTATCACACCTGCGCAATGAAGACTAAAAATTCTTTGTAAAATCCTCGGTGCAAAATGTGATGAGGAAACGAGCGAATGGAGAAAACTTCATAACGTATAAGTACACCAACTGTACAACAAACCGGACATCGTAAAATCACGCCGATTAGGATGTGCAGGTCACATGGAGTGCATCACATGCATTGGGTGGATCGAAGGACGCATAAAATACTGGTCTGTATACCGAACAAGGAAAGACCACTAGGTAGACTGAGACATAGATGGGAGGGCAATATTATTTTGAGATCTTAAAGAAATTGTCTAAGAAGACCGCGAATGTAGTAGTCAAGCTGCGTGGTATACGCTCGAAGAGGATAAACGTCTTAATTGAATAGAAAGAAAGAAAAGAAAAAAAAATACAACACGAACAAAAAATAGTGTGAGAAAAAAGAAAGAGAAAATAATATTTTTAAAAGCAAAGAGGAGTCCAAAGAAGTCGAAGGTGAGAAATGTAAATGAAAAATTAACAAAAGTAAAAAATAAATCAAATGAATGAGGGAGTGGGGGTGAATTGGTAAGAACGATTAGCAACGGGGATGTTCTTTTTTATAAATTGATTCGAAATGGCTTACTGGTAGGGTGAAATGACGGTGGCTACAACACCACCACTCGAAACGAATAAATAAGAAAAGAAAAAAAGAAAGCAAGAAAGGGGAGAGAAAGAAAAAAAAAGATTCGACAGGGTTGAAAAGAACTTTTGCAGTAGATTTTACGCGACTCGAATGCATACTCGCGAAGAAGAAGAAGAAGAAGAAGAAGAAGAAGAAGCAGAAGAAGAAATCGTCGACGTTCTTTTCTACGTTCCACGTAGGGTGGGGATGATGGGGATGGGGCAGAGGGTTAGGGGTAGGATACATTTACTAATTAGAACGGGCCCGAGTGAAAAGGTCAAGCCAGAACGATACGTGCCAGTACTCAGACGCCATGGTGTGAGTTGGAAACTGGTGATATGGGGGTTAGGGTTATAGGGAAAGAGAGGGGAGGCTAGTGTTGAGGTAACAGAGAAGAAAAATAGTCAAGTATGATGGTTTATATTGGTGTTGGTAGCAATGGTAATAGTAAGGGATGATAGTAGTGGTAGTTGTAGGGTTAAAAAAAAGGGGGAGAGGGGAAGTTGATAGGGTTGGAAAGTGAGAAGAAAGAAAAGAAGAAAAGAAAAGCACAGAGGAGACCCTGACACTGAAGGGGATGGTTCGTCGACGAAGGGTTAGCGAGGGTTGAAGGAGGTAAAAACGTAAAGAAAGAAAGAAATAAAGAAAGATAAAAAGAGATAGAAAATAAAGGGGTTTCTCTTCTCGAAACCCGTCGGAAGGGACACGTTGAGGATCGCAACATCGATCGTACCTTTTCAGGTACCCCCCCAACCTTCTTTCTGCGTAGTTGTGTCGAGGTCTGAACCACCTTGTCTCTAACACCTCTTAACTCATATTCTATTCCTGTCTCTGTCTGTTTCCACCTGTCCGTTCATCCCCATCCTCATCGTCGTCTTGCTCAGACCTTACCAAGGTAAATCCGGATCCTCTTAGAACCCTTCGTAGTCGTCGTAGTAGTTGTCGTTGTCGCGTACAAAACGCATGACACGCATTTGCGTCAGCGTAATCCCGCTAGACTAGACGTTCCTGCATACACTTTATCTTTAACACCTTTCTCTCTCTCTCTCTGTTTCTATCCTTTTCTAACGCACACCCTATATGTGTGTTAAAGTATGGTACGGTTAGTGTTACCTAGTATACGACATCAACCCTAACTCGTGCCAGCTTCAATCGTTTTCACCAAAGCAAACCCTCTCTCTCTCTCTCTCTCTTTTTCTGTGGAGTGGAAATATCGTCAGAAAAGGGTGAATTGTAATCCAATAGTCGAATAATAATTAATCCCATTTTTGTCAGATTTTATTCATCAACTATATATATATATATTATTTATATTATTTATATTGTTATTATAATTAATTTAATATATATTGTAATTTATTTATATTATTAATATATTAAATTAATTATATATATAATTTAATATATATTTAATTTAATATATTGTAATTTATTTATATTATTAATATATTAAATATTTCAAGGACATTAATATGGAAATCTTTTAAATATTCATATCGCACATTATGCATTATTTTTATTAACACCATATACTACAATTTAAACAATTAAACGAGTAATTATTGATAAATTATTTCTTATCTCTCTCTTTGTTTTCTTTTAAACATTACTTTCTATTATTTTTTATTTTTTATTACATTTTTTTCCCTAAGACAAAAATAAACTTACTAGACGAATTTATATGAAACGAGAGAGGGGTGAAAATATCTAGCGTATATTTTTCAAGGGTTAAAGGGGTGGGTTGGGTGGGTAGTAGTCCGCGTGACAGGAAAACGTCGAACTCGGTGTCTAAGCTACTTACGGAAGGTGAAGTGGGAGAAAAGAGAGCCCACGAAATTTGCATGAAATATGATCGCCTCGTGGAACACCTATGACATACACCTTCCATGCCGCGTAAAACATTTTGACGATGAACTATATATATATATATAGTTTTCTCAAAACCATCAACTTTCTTCAGAACCTAGTCGAGACTCCTGTATTTGCATCTAACCAAAAAACTAGAACGAAAACCTAGTCCTGTTTTTTAATAATACAAAAAACACCATAAATTTACGTCTTATTAACAAATCAAATTTCTATAATATGTAACCGTAATAATTCATTAAACAAATTCTTTTTATTTTTCTACTTTGATGTAAATTTTTTCCTTGCAAATATTTTGTATAATATCAAAAAAATATATATAATATATATAAATGAGGCGCAGTATGTTTTTTACATGTATTCTCTTTCTCTCTCTCTCTTATTTTTTCTTTATTTCACGTGTTTTTTCCCTGTTTCCCCCTTTTTCATATTCTGAAAAGAAAAAGAGAAATAAATAACAAGAGATTAAGCAAATTCTTTGCACTCTTCACTCCTACCATTACCATCACTACCACACTTTTGGTATTATTCAGACTTAGTGGACGTCCACACACGCTTGCGGTAAAATCCCGGATTGGAGAGAGGTAAACAAACGGCTTTAATTCGTTTAACGTATTCTATGGCCACGTGGTTTCATTAAATCCCATACGTGGTGTTAGTCCAACGTAGTGTTATACTTGTGTATTTCCTATTTCATCATACAAATCCATACACGTTCGATAAACATGGTTCTATGATAAATGTAAAGAGAAAGAGAAAGAGAGAGAGAGAGAGAGATTGAACAAAGCAACTGGAACATTTCGATCCGTCAACATCTGATATACCCAATAGAATTAAATTCATTTGTTTTTTCTTTTTCTGTACGTTAAATCATAGGTCGATACACCGGACAGCGTCCTTCAAAGTGGATTAGGTCCAGGACCAGATATGGGTCACACGATATTACGTTCGATGGTAGACCCACGAGATTACGACCGACTGAGGTATTTGCAAATGAATGGAGGTCAGCCAAATAGCTTTGAAGAGACCATAAATAGGGTAAGTTTCTTTCATACAAAAAAATTTTTTTAAATATATAACGTACTATAATTAACCAACTAAAAACTTTGAGAATAAAATAAAATCATAATATCATTCGTAGTTGAAAGTTCAAGAGGCATTAAGGCAGAAGGAACGATTTCATAAAGAACATGAAGAGGTTAGTATGAATTATTTTACATTAAAATACGTACCGATAATTATGACAGTGAATTAAATAAAAAACAAAATAAAAAATTTCAACGATATACACAAAATAATACCACAATTAAAATGGAATACATAAAATAATATTACTCGAATGAAATATAAAAAGTAAAGTTAGTTATGTCATACGTAACTCTGAAAAAAACCTGAAAAAATTGAATTGTAATACAGCGCCATCTACTGAACGTTGTTTTAATATAACTCTAAATTATTTAATGCAGTCAAATTAACAATCATAATTAGATTGAAATACATAAAATAATAATACAAGAAAAAATATAAAAAGTAAGATTAATTAGGTCATATGTAAGTCTGAAAAAAACCTGAAAAAATTGAATTATAATACAGCGCTATCTATTGAAAGTTAATTTAATATAATTCTAAACTATTTAGTAAATTATAACAACACACGAAATAATACTATGGAATACATAAAATAATTATACAAGAAAAAATATAAAAAATAAAGTTAATTATGTCATATGTAAATCTGAAAAAAAAACCTGAAAAAATTGAATCGTAATACACCACCATCTATTGAAAATTTACAGTACCTAAAAACCTAGCTAACCTCTAAATAACAAATCCTTAAATTAACGATAAAAAATAAAAAATAATCGCGATAAAAACTATCCTAGCTAACCTTAAAAATAATAAATCTTTAAATTGACGATAAAAAATAAAAAATAATCGCTATAAAAACTATCCTAACTAACCTTAAAAATAATAAATCTTTAAATTAACGATAAAAAATAAAAAATAATCGCGATAAAAACTATCCTACATAACCTTAAAAATAATAAATCCTTAAATTAGCAATTATTATATAAATATACTAAATTAACATTATAAAGATTTATAAATTGTTTCAACCCACAATCCATTGTCACAATTATCGAGATACTTATACAGATTATATTTGTTATTAATTATTTTGTTTGTTTTTTGTCTCATTAAGATATTGAGAGACATAAGACACGGATTAATGCAGTTAGGACGAGATGGACGAGGTCAGGTTACAGGAGGTAAATGGAACATAGAAAATCATTGATAAATTCCTATATCGAATAATTTCCCATATCGAAAACCAATCGAATCTACATTGTTTAGATGACACCTACATGTACGATGAAGATGCCAGATGTGGAGGTACCGGTGGTTTGGGTGGTGGTTTAGGAGGTCAACATTGGTACGATGAACCACCATACGAATCGGACCCCGAAGATTTTCTTATGGGAGCAAGTGGAGGTCCCGTGCCTACAGCTACCATACAAAATGGAAGGTAAATATTCACCCGTATATAAATATATACATATATATATTTACATGAACTGTAACTTTGACTTTGAAGTCGAGAATATTTTGATCTTAATCCTTTGGGATATTCTTGGTTTGAAGTATACTGTTAAAGAGAGAAACCTACTCGAGTAAAGGAACTTATCCCTTAGGGATTTGAACAATTTTGAAATTGTAAAAATAAAACAGAAAATCTTTTTCATCGAATACATAAACGCCACACAACATTTCTTCATAACTCGGTTGAACAATTAAACATATTTGCACGATATCATTTTAATCCTTACACACTTGTTAACTAAACATAAAATACAACCATATTTGCACGTTCAAACAATTAATATAATTATTATCTCGAAACACTTGACACATAATTCCATCTGTATTATTAAATGGCACGTAGGAATAAAACGTACTCTTGAAAATGATTAAAACTTACAATTATTAGATCTACCGGAATAAATTATTCCTAATTTGAACAATGAATTAACTTAATTACTTTTAAACTCTTGCCAACATGGTGGCAATTTGTATATTCCATTTTAAGAAATGGGGCCTTACCCCCTAGTGACGAAAAATTGAACTAATGTTTGTTTAAACGGACAGAATTTTCCATTAAACCTAATACATACGAATTAGTATTATTTATTAAAATTACAATCATTTCAATTTGTTTTCTAAATCCTTCAATAATTCATTAATGAAATTATTATTATACATACAAATATATATAGTAGGTTAAACAATGTGTTAACAATTTCAAACTATAACGAAATTCTAACAATTTAATTACAGAGTATGCTTTACGTTAAATCCAAGACCGGAAAATCGAGGGGAAGGAGTGATCTCCTTGAGAACAGCAGGAGACATAAGTCTACCACGTGAACGTTCAAAAGGAGCAGCTTCGACGATGCGAGGATTGATCGTACCTCAAGGCCATAACAATCCACCAACGATCATACCTTTAACCCATTCCAGGGCTTCACGTGAGAGTGGAGATTACGCGAGCAGTGACGTTCAAGTAAGTTCATAATATATCTCCAATTACGAACATAATTTGACTTCAAACGAACGATGATAGGATGCACAACATAATCCTATATTAACTATATGAATATACTACTTGAGTATATAGAAACATTAAATACGATTACCTTTTAATTACTCTGTACTACCACATATATAATAATAATATATATAGAACAAAAGAAATAATACGAATGAAAAATAATTTGTTATTCAAACTTTAGTTATTTAATTTAACACACACATAAATGACTCTAGAGATAAAATTGGAAGGACTTATGAACAAGTAGAACGTACAACTGACTAATTAACATAACACACATACATATACACGGTATACTTATTAGTGTATATCAACATTTACATACACGATATGATATATATATACATATATATACTCGTATAATATTTTAGTTATTCTCTATCGTCGGTTCCTACCGTTTTGCTTACGCTCCATTCCTTGCTAAACATACAACATCACCATATCACCAGCAAACCCACACACGAATATATATACCCCTCAGAGAAGACATTTCCCACAGGTATACGTCACGCGAGATGATTCATTTAACTCGGACGTGTTGAGAGTGCTAGTAGCCTCGAGACGATCGAACGAGTCCAGGACTCTATAGTATAATAGTAGTAGTAGTTAGTAATAGTATTATAGTAGTCGTAGTAGTATGTTTCTTCATAGTGTGCGAGAGAGTAAGAAGACAGGAATACCAAGAGAAGATTGGCTTCCGGGTTGCCTGGTCAGCACCTAGAAATGATGTCCGGCTCACAGACATCATGCCTTCCGATTTCCTTCGACGTTTACACTAATCGTCTCTCCTACTATGATTACGTTTCAAACTATAGCATGATCTTTCTCTCTCTCTCTCTCTCTATCTATCTATCTATCTATCTCTGTCTGTCTATCTGTCTTTCTCTAAACCACATATCCCATCGTTAACATTGACCATTACTAATTATTTAACAAGCCATAATTCCGATTAAACTTGCAGTTTGATCTACTACTACTCATCAAATCATTTCTAACTATACGTCCTCATTTATGAATAATATTATCCTATATCAGCTTATTCGATATAGAGGAGAACATTCATCATTCTATGTTATTTAACCATTGTCTCTGATTATTCATTTTGCCTAAAAGGATAATGAATTAATATTTTATGGTTGCATATTATATTAAACCCATTCGAGACTACGACTGTTTTCAAACAAAAATACTAAGAACCATTTCTTTTGTTTTTATTATGTTGCCAATTTTACAATGCCACATTTTGTTTTTCTATAATTTAAAGATAATATTTATACCAAAACAAAGTCTTATTTCGACCGAATACTTGACTCAAAATAACTGATATTAGGTGGACTAGAAAGTAATGTCGCATTTTAACCTCAAAATTCAAACAAATAAATGCTGAAATAACAAGTTTTTATTATTAATCAATAATTAAATTAATTAATCATGTTATTAACAACCTTTTTCTATCTGGTATATGAATTTTTAATATCGTTACGGTAAAAATCATCAATCGGTTTTTTGACTTAAAATATTAAAAATAATTTGACATACGTAGTAACGACATTACTCCTATTGGTCCCACTAATAGTTTAGTGTGATATCACACACACGGTGTGCAAGTTGGTCTCGAATGGGTTAAGTGTAAGATATTTCTAATTAATTTGTTTTTAATTTATACAAATAAACAATTTTTATCGAGTCTCGTGCGAAGTTCCTCCCGCTAGGAAAAAAATGGTATCTTTGTTGGTATCGCAGAACATTCGATTATATATCTCATATTATTTTCATTTTAATTATTCTACAGTTATAAATATCCTATTGAGATTATTTCTAACCTGTAATGAAATTACTTTTCTATTGTTTCCTTGTTTTTGTAAATAATTTCTTAGAAAATTAATTATTACTTTGACAATAATTATTCACAAAATGAAAAGATCTTAATTTCATTGATTTATAGAAATAATTAGAAATAAATCAACTTTTTATGTATACTATGTATATATATTTATATATTTATTTGATTGCCCTGAAAAAAATTCGTACCGATTTATAAATAAGAAAATATTTAAACTTTCCAAAACAATTCAATTATACGATAATAGTGCAATCAATCTGGCCTCAAGTATTCAAAAAGAAACTTAATACATATATATTTTTATAAAATAAATATCATTTATATACAAATATATTTTACTGTTATTTTAAGACTAGTTATGTCTTATATGTAATATGTAAAACTGAAAAAAAATGTACGACGTGAATATATCAAAATAATTGAATTGTGATACAACGCCATCTATTGAAAACTTACAGTATCTAGAGATCTAGATAACCTGTAAATAATAAATCCTTAAATTAGCAATAAAATACTAAGTTCAGTAGTGTCGAGCTTCATTGGAAACCAATAATGTGACACTGAATTTTTTTATATATTATATATTATATATTAATATATTATTTAACCCTTTGAATGCTGAATACTTTTAACTAAAATGTTTTGTAGTAACGAAATAATTTATTATTAACTAGATTATAATAATAAATTATATTTAATAATTAAAGTTTTTGTTTCTTAATATAATTTAATTAATTATTATAAACATTAAATTATTTTACATTAATATTAACAAACGCATATATGCGTCCATAGCACTCTAAGGGTTAAAAATAAACATATTTATGTTAAATATTAATTAAATATTTTCCCCTATATTTCAAAATCGAGACGAACTTTTCAGGGGGTGTAGGTAGAGGATGCAACCCAATAAATACATACATATATATATATTATATAATATTATCCATTTAAATTTCATCATCGTCTTCTCCTTTACACCCCACCCTATCCCCACTTTAACACACACACATACCCTTTTTTCGTATTTCTACAAATCGTATATACTGGGTGATTAGAAAAGTATCTGCGAGTATGAACGTTTTAGAGCCGGAGTAGCGGGGAGGAGGGACTTTCGCCGAGCCAGAGCAGCGACTACGAGGAACAAGAAGAACTTGAGAACCAACACTCCGCCGCTACACACACAGTACGTGACATATAACAGACAATCCTCTCTCTATTCACCAATCTTTTCGCTTTTATCAACCAATATCACTCGTCTACCGTATACTACAAACTCGTTATGTTTTCTTTGCACGATATCAAATTTTTTTGCATGATAATTATGCTGTTTATTATAAACAAATGGATTCAAACCATTTTGGTTTTTCCTATCTTCTTTTTTTTCTTCAATCAAAATCAAAATCGAAAAACAAGAAAAGCATGTTTGACTGCAAAGCTTTCGTATTTGCATCCTTTTTTTTTTCTTTCTATCACTATAATTTAAATATATACATATGTATGTATGTTTTTATGTATGTATGTACATTCTACTATCTCCTATTTTTTTTATATACAAAAATATATATTTGGTTAGGAGTAAAAAATTTAAAACTGTTGACAACTTGATGGCACTTTGTATAATCACATTTTAAAAAGGCTTACCCCTAACGGCAAAAAATTGAACCAATCTTTGTTTGAATGAACTGAACTTAACCTTTCAAATGCACGCAATTATTACCAAATCCAAATAATATTATCAAAGTTGCACTACTGTTAAAAGCCATCATTTTATAAAATATGAACAAACTTTTTACAATTCACATTTTCACACATGAATTTCATTCATTAATCACATTTTTCAAATATCTTACCCCTAGCGGCAAAAAATTGAACCAATCTTTGTTTGAATGGACCGAACTTAACCTTTCAAATGCACGCAAGTAATACCAGATCTGAATAATATTATCAAAGTTGCACTACTGTTAAAAGCCATCATTTTATAAAATATGAACAAACTTTTTACAATTCAAATTTTCACACTTGAAATTTCATTCATATTTTTCCAAACAACTTTCCTATTTCAAAAGCATGATCATAAATGCACGATAAGAAAAGCACGTTTGTTGCATGTGGTTATGTAGATCTTAACCTCAAAATCACTATACCTGCTACCCCTCCTCCTCCACCTCCTCCTTCACTTTCTTCCCCTTTCCGTCCATTTTCATTTCTTTTTTCCTTTTCCCTTTTCTTGTCCGTACCTAGTCACATTTAAACCCAAATGTATCCTACCCATTGCACAGCATGATATATGTATATCTATACATATATATATATATATTTATATATTCTCTGTAGGGAACATACGAACGTCATATCACGACATATACATTCACAACACGTGCTGTCTGTTCCACAAGCATGGCAACGTTATCGTTTTGAGCTCTTTGTCGACAAAGCTCCGGAGTCTCTTCTATGATAACCACGTTTCTCTCTCTTTCTCTCTCTCTCTTTCTCTCTCACTCTCTTTTTCTTTTTATCTTTATCTTTATCTTCCTGTATCCTTCGTGTTTAGGAGACACATCGCATGTTTACAAAATTCCTATAGAGACACTATAATCGATCAAAAACTTACATGAATTACTATAAATCAAATATTTTTTCTGTAAAATTAACACCCCCACTCTTATTATGCTTTCATTTTCTTGAACGAACCAATAAACGAATAGAATTAATGAAATATTATATTTCTAAGTTGAAATTAATTTTTAATAATTTAATAAATAAATTTTAATCAAATAGCAAACGATAGATGGGTGTGCTAACTTTGCAGAGATGACATGATGATGATGATGATGATGAAAGTGACAGGACTAAATTACTGTGTATTAAGTGTGTGCGTGTGAAAATGATCGATCAATCTTTCTTCTATCATCGTTTTCTAACACAAGAAGCAACAGTTTTGACATAATCGTTTGAAATATTAACACGTTTAATGCCATAATTGTCATTTTTTGATACATAACCTAGAAATGAATTTTGTTGTTGTTATTAAGTAATAAATTAATATATAACACGATACAGGTGTTAAATAAACACATTGATTTAAGTTTTTATTCAATTTGTCATTCGACGTGTTAACAAGTTACAAATTTTAATATTTTATTATTTGTTTACAAAAAGTATTCGTTCAATTTGTTTGATTTATTTGATTCGTTGTATTTATTTATTCAATTGGTCATCATTGTTATATATCATTTTAGAGAAATATTTTCCTAATGGGAAAATTTATACGTTTTTAATTTAATAAAATATGATACTTAACTCTTTGCACTTAGTATGATTAAGACTTGTACTTTCTATACACTTATATGTATAATACTTAAGAACTACAAGAACAACAAGATATAAGAACTACAACTACACTTATAAAGAAGTCTTCAAATTGCTGCTTGCCTATATTACAAAATTGGCTAGAGTTCAAAGGGTTAAAAACATCCTATTAGATGAAATGAAACATCACATAAAGCTTGCCTTCATAAATAACAAAGAATTTAATCATTACTACGTATTTTTTCCAATAATACATCATTTCTGTAGAATATTCATTTAACTGATTCATTTATTTATATTACTATCAATAAATATTAATTAAAAATTAATATACTAAAATTTTCTAATACGTACAAACTAATTATTAATATAAATAACAATTATTATTCAATTTCATATCTCTAGCCTAGCACGCCATTTTGTTTTCTACTTCTTTCAAACATTAGTCAATACAACAATTTAATAATCAAATGAAACATAAAATGTCGTTATTTTTATTTATTTATTTTTCTATTATTAACATAAAAAAAAGAAATAATATATACAAGATCTAAAATTATAAATTTCAATGCTAGGCCTTCAAATAATTGTTACAATTTATAACAAATTAGAAATATCTCACATAACCTATCCAAAATACGTAGTATTGTAATATTAAGAAACTAAAAAAATTAAAATTAAAAAATAATATATATTATTATAAAAAAAAGGAAAGAAAATGGCGTAATTATTTGCTGGGCCTACAAGCAATTGTTACAATTGATAACAAATTAGAAATATCTCACATAACCTATCCATACTACGTATTATTGTAAAATAAAAGAACCTAAAGCAATCAAAATTAAAAATTAATATACATAATTATAAAAAAAATTAAGAAATAATAATAATAATAAATAAAATGAAAAGATGGATTATGTTAATAAATATTTTTCTAGTCGGAGGCGAGTGCACTGTTGGACGACGAAACAAAAAGTGGTGTGATAGGAATTGGTGGAGGTGGTGGTGGTGGTGGTAGTGGTGGACGTGCGAGAAATCTACGACATGACGTACAAACTAAGATCTCAAGACTCCGTCAGGATCGTGCGTCTTCCGAGGCCTTTCCATGTAGCGCAAGTAGCGTCGAGAGTCTTCCGAGCGGAAGTGGTTCTAGCACGCAAGCATTAGTCAGAGCGGGAAGTAATCACAGCTCGATATCGTGCGAGGAAAGGGACGCCATAAGCCCGACGTCAATCGGCCCTGTACTTTGCAGGGCGAGAGCCTTGGTCGATTACACACCTAGTCCTTACGATAAGGACGCGCTCAAATTTAAGGTAACTTTTTTCACTAAGGAAGTCCTTTAAACAACGACACTGAATATTACCATAAATTTCAAAACCCGTGCAACTAGTTACAAAGTAACTAGTTACCTTTTATTACACTATTTTTTTCCCTTTTTCTTTTTTTAAAGCAACTACTATAGTAACCCTAGTATTTATTGGGGGTGGGAGAGGGTTAGTAATTTTAATAAAATATAAATTTGCACACACACCTTTTTTATTTCTTTTTTTTTTTAACCAACTATTATAGATAAGCTAATATTTATTGGGGGTAGGGGGAGGGTCAGTATTTTTATAATAATAAAATATAAATGTGGACACACACCTTTTTTTTCTTTTTTTAAAGCAACTATTATAGCAAGCCTAGTATTTATTAGGGATGGGGGTCAGTATTTTAAATAAAATACACACCCTTTATCAAAATATTCTGCAAATCTGATGCAATTCTGAATCTATTTAAAACACTGACAATTTTTCATCATTTCGATAGATGGCAATTAGATTCTTTTGCTAAAAAAAAACCTGAAAAGTTCTGGAAGGCTAAAATTTTGAAGTTACTCTTAAAGATGGAGAAAGATTCTATACAAATCTGAATCTATTTAAAACACTGACAACTTTTCATATATTATTTAACAAAATATTGATTAAATAAAATATTGGGTTCTCTGGAAAGTTCGTGCCGATTTCCGGCAGATGGCATTATAGTCCTTTTGCTAAAAAAAACCTGAAAAGTTCTGGAAGACCAAAATTTTTAAGTTACGCTTAAAAATGGAGAAAGATTGTGAAACAAAATGGCACTTATATTTAATTTAATAAATATATACTAAAAAATGAACTTAAATTGCAAAACATTTCAATCTCCTATCAAAATCGGCACGAACTTTCCGGACAACCCAATAACCATTGCAATATTTCGTTGTTGGGATAAAAATGTCCCATTTAATGCATTACACCTTGCATCAAAAAGGTATGGGACATTTTTAATTCTACCTTAGCTAATCACTCTTCCTTTTTTTTTGTTAAATTATAAAATTTTTCTATACAGAAAGGAGATATCATCGACGTTGTACAGATGAACAAGAGTGGTTTATGGAAAGGTGTCGTCCACAACAGAATAGGACACTTCAAATTCATAAACGTGGAAATATTGAACGACAGAGTTTCAAGACGTGGTGACTCGGAACGTAGTAGCAAGTGGGGTCAAAGATACAGGCAAAAACCCGGATCAGTTCAAGAGCTCTTACAAAGAATGAATCTTCAGGTAAACCCCCCAAAAAAACACAATATTTCCTTCTTGCGTTGGTTACCTAACGATGCAAAATAAAATGTCTGCAAATAAAGAAAGAAAGAAGGAAAAGAAAAATATCTTTGTATATCTCCATTATTTTCTTGATATTTTTTTCATTTTTGATTCAAGTGTATTTATCTAACAAGCTAGTTTTACATTTTCCATGTATATTCTTCTCTCTCTCTCTCTCTTTCTTTCTCTGTGTGTAGTTGTCTTACTGTCTCTTTCTATCTCGTTGAATTTCGAATACTAAAGCTACGAATAAGCTTAGGGATAACAGTGAAAAGGCACAACTAGCGTGGTAAACTACCTTTAACGTTTTCGTGCAGGAACACATTTCCGTTTTCGTGCTGAACGGTTACGAGGATTTGGAGCTGTTCAGGGAAATAGAGCCAGCGGATCTCGATTATTTGAGTATACATCAACCGGAGCATCGTGCCAAGATACTTACAGCCGTACAACTACTACACGACCTTCAATGTAAGTAAAACGATCAACGACTAAAGTAAAGTACCCCATATGGTGTTACCACTACCAGTAATCTTATAAAATCGTTATATTACCAGAACTAATTTATCCAATTAACTCTTGATATATAACTCCTACTTCTCGTTGAATTGTTTCACGTTAAATGAGAGAAATTATTCCAACAATAATCACATGTTACAATTTGGTTAATTTAACAGCTGGTAGCGAAGGAGATTTGGCATCGAGTTCGGAAGGTGACGAAGTTAGCAGATTAGTTCTTCATTCGGGTCAAACATCCGGCCATTGTTCACCGTTCAATCGACGCCAATTTCCAAGAGATTCTGGTTGTTACGATGCTCATAAGAACCCAACGAGTCGTCGAAACGTCAGTCCGGAATCTTCATTGGGAACCAAAATATCGAGAGAAAATAATTTAGACGGTAGCATTCAAAATAAGATAACTGCTGGTAACGTAAGCGGTGATGGTAATTCATTGGCAGACGTTAAGGATGATTTTCATCCTAACATACCAATAGGTGGATCAATGTTATCCCAAAAAGATGGACAATTTGATAAATCACCATTGTTACGTGGTGGTAGTGGTAGGGCAATCGGAAAGAGAAGTAATTTCGGTGAAACTGTGGTAATCGAGGAAAGCTGCGAAGGTAATCAAAAACTTGGCATGGTCAAATACGTTGTTGGTGGTGGTGGTACCACTGATCTTGGTTTAGATGCTGCACGCGAAGTTGCAACAGCTTTGAGTCAACGTGGTTGTTTGAGCGAAAAATCAAGCGATTCTGGTGTTAGTTCGTCTAGCATTAGTTCAGCACCACCCCCAAGAGACAAGTCCTTGGTTACCGCCACCTGTACCGCACCAACTTCCGTTTCACCGACTAAAAATCAATTTGGTAATTTTAACAGAACGCAAACGATATCACAAACCAGTTCTAAAAATCAAGGTAACGCTAGCTCGGAATATCCGTAATTTGTCTAGGATATGATTATGATTATTATTATTATTATTATTTTGATTATTATGATTACTATTATTATTATTGTTATTATTAATATGCGCGTTAAAATAATTACGAACGAAATATTAGAATAGGCTCCTCTTTTAAGCAAACTTAAACTTTTATTTGAAGCAAATAAAAAATAATAAGCAAGATACGAGATTAATTAAACTGATGGATTAAACATGGTGTCCTCTTGATGGTGTTTCGTTTAAACATCTATTCTTATATACAAATAACGAAGAAAAAGGATCCTAACCATCTTGCATTTTTTTTTTTTTTTGACTAATTGTAAAACATTTTCAAACTTTCTACGTCGTCGTTCTATCCTTCGAAAATATTATTTGTAGAGAATGATACAGAAAAAAATATATACATATGAGATCTATATATATATAAACATACCATATATACACATATAGAATAAATATATGTGTGTATGTGTGCGTTTATATATAGATAATATATCAATGACAACGCGAAAACTTCTTAAATCCGAATTTTCCTCGTGCGATTATATGAGAATCTTACGACATGTTTAATCAGTTAACTGTGGCGCCCTCATTTGAAAGTGCGCACCGTTTGGTGTCGCTAGCATCGAGCCATGACGATTATACTCGTCAATCACACAATAAATTGCACCGGTAAGACATTTGAATCAAAAAGATTGGTTTTTTGTGTCACGAATTTCTCCCATGACTGACCATACCTGAAGGAACCCTAATTATAAATCAACTTTCTGACTTTTGCAAATTATTTATATTTTTTATTTGTTTATTTTATTCCGGCGTGGGCTCAAAATATTCTAAACATCTTGAAATTTGAGAATATGTTTTATTTTTCTCGACAAATTACAATTTAAATAGCCAATGGTCATTAGTTTATACGCATGACGAGTATACACGTCAATAGAAAAATCGTCCCACTTCTTCGTGACGAGTTTAGACGTTAATACACAAAAATCGTGCCACATCTTCATGACGAGTATGTTCGGCAATCACAGTTAACTGGTTAATACACTTACATACATGCATGTATGTATACGAAAAAAATCAACAGAAACTTAAATAAGATTCTCTTATGCGATCAAATGATACGTAGTAGTAACTCGAGTTATGTTCGAGCATTCCCTCGGATAGCCTTTTACCATTTTCGCTAATAAATAATATTAATAATTATATTGTATTTCTATATGTATTATTGCCTTGCGCTGACTATTTGCAAAAACGTATTTACGTATTACGTTTATACATACATATATAATTGAGTCATGCAGCAAGAATAATAAAAATGAAGAAGATAAAAAAGAAGAAGAAGAAGAAACAAAGAAACAAAGAAACAAAACAAAATGAATTTAAAAAAAAAAAATATATATATATATATAAACATTACATATATATAATTCTTCACTGCCGGCCAGCGTACGAATATCGTAAGAATAATTCCGATTAAACGGCGTTGCCCTTTAAAAAAAAAATAATAATAATAATTAAACAATTATAAACAATATTAGATCGAGAGAACATCATACGCGACTAAAAAAAAATACGAAAGAGCTCGTGTAAACAATAAAACAAACAATTATGTGATACGGTAGCAATATATTACGGATCGATTTAATTAATAAGTTAGATAGAAATGGGTTTCTTTTTTCAGAATAAACATAAAAAAATAATAATAATAATCGACGAGCACTCTTATTTTCACTATTATTTGCTATTAACAATTAACAATATGTTAGATGAATTTGAACAATGATAAAAATAATTTAAACACATCAACAAAATATGTTTCAATATTATTGGTTGTTCGGAAAGTTCGTGCCAATTTTAATGGAAGATTGAAATATTTTGCAATTTAAGTTCATTTTTTAGTATATATTTATTAAATTAAATATAAGTGCCATTTTGTTTCACAATCTTTCTCCATCTTTAAGAGTAATTTCAAAATTTTAGCCTTGCAGAACTTTTCAGGTTTTTTTTAGCAAAAGAACTTTAATGCCATCTATCGGAAATCGGCACAAACTTTTCGGATAACCTAATACAAACTGATTCGAATCGATTGATCGATAAATTTATGTTTATTGTTAATTTGATGTGTAACAAATGAGAAAATAAGAATGTTAGTCTATGAAAAAAAAAAACTTCTCGTGTAACTTGACGATTTGGCTCGAATTTTGAAAACGAAGAAGTTTTCTACTAATGTCGGACAAACCTTTTTTCTTTTTTTTCTCGAGCACGAGTACAGCGCTTTGAAACAAAAAAAAAATAAAAAGAAAAAAAAACAGAAAAAAATAAATAAAGAAGAAAACACGAAAAATAAGACAAAAAGAAAAGAGAAAAAGTAGAAAAAAAAAGATTACAAAAAAAAAGTAAATAAAAATTAAAAAAAAAAAAAGAAATAAAAGAATCTTTCAATTTTCGGTCTGCCAAGAAAAAAAAATCCATATTCACCAATCTCTTCCGATAGCAAATGTTTTTTTTTCATTTCTTTTTTTCTTTTTTTATTTGCTCTCTCAAAACTTACAGCAGCAGGGAAGACGAAGAATTTACAAAAAAAAAATAAGAAAATACACACACATACATACATATACATACACAAAAACACACAAAATGCGATAATAAAAATATAATATATATATACACGTATAATAAATCCACGTTTTCGATTTTGAAAAATAGTTCGATATTATTAACACCTTGGAATGCGGGTAAACTTCACCGTCAACTTACGCGTGCAGCGGGCATTTTTCCGTGAATCTCGCAGGAGTTTGATCAAAAATTTCTTGTATCTTATTTTTTGCATCCTTGTCAAATTATATGTTACATATGCATTAAAAATGCACAATTCATCATATACATAGCTAAACATTTTGTCAACTTCACACTGTGTTGTAATTATACGTCACTCCACTATTAACCACAAATCTACTAAATACGTATTTTTACGTGACCCGCGTTCCAATGACAGATTACGGAAAAACGTAAAAATACGTTGCCCGCATGCCAAGTGTTAAACGAAACAATTTTTAACAGTTTTGAAAATGCATTTGCAATAAACAAAAGAAGAAGAAGATGTTGAAGAAGTTGAAGAAATAATTTTTTGAATTTACGCTAACCAACCACACAGTTACGTCATTTTTTAATTATTCACAATAATTATTAATTAATTAATTATTAAACTATTTCTTACGATCGACAATCCTTCGACCATCGGCCGATGCGAACCCGTTTGTTACCATCGACGCGATGGTCCCCTTTGTAAATGTGTATATTGGCGCCGCACCATAAAAAAAAAAAATATTGAAAGTTACAAAGATTTTGTATATATTATAAGCGTAGAGACCTAACGACGATGTTTTGTATTGATATATTTGCCAAAACTTAAAAAGTAGACTTATATAAACGATATATATATATATATATATGTATATGTATATCGTATATATATATATATATATCATATAACGTTGGATCTTATGTAAATCTTTTGTATAGTGTAAAATCCATGGATGGTGTTAAAGAATGAATGATTAAGATTGAACAAACAAACAAAAATAATAATAATAATAATAATAATAATAATAATAATAAAAAGTAAAATAATAATTCACGCGAGAACGAGAGCGAAATAAGTGGAATGATTAAATAATTATAATAAACGAATAAAAACAAAATAATGCAGATTTAGAAAGATTGAAAACAAAAAAGAAAGCTGAAGTGGAAAAGTCGAATAAAAAACAAAAAGAGAAAGAGAGAGTGAGAGAGAAAGAGAGAGAGAGTCGATTATTATTATACAGGGTGATCCACCAACTTTTGCCACCCGAAAAACCCCCTAAAATATGATAGCAACAGAAAAGTAGATGAGAAAAAAGTTGCATAACAAATTTATGATTACAATATGACATTAGTATTTTTCTGTTAGGTTGAGTCATTTTCGAGATTTATTAGACAACTTTGTTTTTTTAAATACAATGTTATATTTTAATACTTATTTTCGGATAGCGGCTTTCAAGACGAATCCAATGATATGCAACATTAAATACAAAACTCGACAATGACCAATAAAAACAATTCGGAAAATATCTGTTCCGTATTTTGTCGAAACAACTGAAGGATGACGCGACCACGACGCCACCTCGACTCAAAAAAGCTGTATTTTGGCCGACTTGTTAGCCAGTTTTTACCTTTGTTGATCTTCAAAAATATTAATGTTGTATATCATTGGATTCGTCTTGTCAGCCGCTATCCGAAAATAAGTATTAAAATATAATATTGTATTTAAAAAAACAAAGTTGTCTAATAAATTTCGAAAATGACTCAACTTAGCAAAAAAATATTAATGTGAGATTATAGTTCTGAATTTTTCGTGTAATTTTTTCCGAATAATCTTTTCTGTTACTATTATATTTTTGGAGGTATTAAGGTGGGAATAACTGGTGAATCATCCTGTATTTTATATTATATATATGCGAAATAGTTTTATATATTTAAGAAAAATCTATATCGACGACGGACCTATCCACTCTCATAAATATTTGTATATAAATACACGAGATCAATCTGCCCCCTCCCCCTCCTTCTTGAACGAATAATTAAAACAAAACAAAATAAAACAGAAAAACAAAAAAAAGGAAGAAGTAATAAAGAAAAGAAAAATTTTCAAAAATGAAATGAAGAAAGAAAGACACAAAACACACACATATAGGGGGAGGAAAATATACATCGTCGAAAATCACAGAAAAAAAACACAATTTCTAATACAACGTGGAACAAAAAAAAAAGAAAAGTGGTCAACGATGAATGTTCATCCTTCCCATCCGACATCTTTAATAGGACATATTATTATCTGTAGAAATTTAGAATACAAAAATGCGAATATTTCTTCTTAACTCGATGACGAAGAAACCAAGAAAAAAAAAAGAAAAAATACGTTTGCGTAATGACGATGAAAAATTTCCACAAAAAAAAACCATCATCATTGTCATCCCTAAACACTTTCATACCTAAATACATATGTATATACATATATACAATGATTATATATAATATATTGGGTTGTTCAGAAAGTTATTTCGTTTTTTCTTGATACAATAAATTCATTAGTTGATGTAAACCTTCAAATAGGAACACATGAGATCAGTGAGAGGTTAAATTCATCAAATTCAAGTGGGAAAAAACAGTTGAGGCCTATGTTTAACCTCAAAACGAAAACTGTTTTAATTTTCACATAAGAAAAATGAAATTACTTTCTGAACAAACCAATACATATATAATCATTATCTATGTATAATAATTATTATAAATATGTGTTTATAACCTAATATACATATGTAGTTAGGTATATACACGTGTACCAATCATATGCATATATATATATTAATAATAATAACTGTGCCTAGTA